TATTGTAAACAGGCAAAATAATTTCTTAATATGGCACATGCAGTGAAGAAAATAGGCAAGAGGCTAAGATAGTGACTAAGACAGAAGGACTTGCTTCAGATATGGAAGACCACTCTGAGCAGTAATATTGAGGCTGAGACTTAAAGGATGAGCAGGTAGCAAAGTAGAGAGGAAGGTGTAAGAGCATTCCAGTCAGAGTGAACAGCTGTGCAAAGTCCTGTGACCAGATAGGACTTCACATGCCCTTGGGAATGGAAGATCAGTGTATCTAGAGCACAGATAGTAAGATGAGGTGCTGGTATGAGCTAAGATGGAAGATATAATTCGGGTCTGGGTCATGTAAGACTTTGTGGGTCTTAGATTTTATACTGAATACAGTAAGCTACTGGAGATTTTTAAGCTGTGTGTATGTGTGTGTGCATGACAGTTTGTGTTTCTGTATCACAAAATGACCAAATGAGTTAGATTAGGGGGCAAGAGTAAAAACAGAAAAATTAGCTAGGCTAGTTCAGGATTTAAATAATGGTTGCTTACACTGAAGTAGTGACAGTGAAAACGAAGGAAGAGTTCAAAAGCAAGGTAATAGTGAAGATGGAACTGACAGAATCCAGTGAATTAATGATAAAAGGGAAACCATCCTAAAGAAAAAATTGCTCATGATATATGTGATATCATATGATATTTGTCTTTCTCTGTCTGACTTAGCTCACTTAGTATGATATTCTCTAGGTCCACCCATGTTGCTGCAAATGGGATTATTTTATTCTCTCTTCTTTTTTTAGACACAGCAGTAAATTTATTTAAAGAAATTTTATTATATATGGGAGTATAGTTGACTAACAATGTTTTGTTAGTTTCAAGTGTACAGCAAAGTGATTCAGTTATACGCATGTGTGTGTGTTAGTCACTCAGTCGTGTACAACTCTTTGCAACCCCATGGACTGTAGCCAGCCAGGCTCTCCTGTCCATAGAAATCTCCAGGCAGGAATACTGGAGTAGGTAGCCATTCCCTTCTCCAGGGGATCTTCCCAACCCAGGGGTAAAACTTGGGTCTTTTGCATGCCAGGCAGATTTTTTTATTGCCTGAGCCACCAGGGAAAACCAGTTATACATATACCAGTATCTGTTCTTTTTCAAATCTTTTTCCCATTTAGATTTTTAAAGAATATTGAGCATAATTCCCTGTGATATACAGGGAATTGTTGGCAATCTGTTTTAAATATAACAAAGTGTACATATCAATATGGCTCTCATTGTGTATATGTATATGTATGTGTATATATATACACATATACACATCTTTTTTCCTTTATCCATTTTTTTCTGTTGATGGACATTTAGATTCCTTCCATATCTTGGCAATTGTAAATAATGTTGCTATTAACATTGGGATGTGTGTATCTTTCCAAGTTAGTGTTTTTGTTTTTCTTGGACATTTATCCAATAGTGGAATTGCTGGATCATATGATAGTTCTCTTTTTAATTTTTTGTGAAACCTCCATACCATTTTCCACAGTGGTTGCACCAATTTCCCACCAACAGTGAAGATGGGTTCCCTTCTCTCCATATCTTCTCCAACATTTGTTATCTGTGTACATTTTGATAATAGCCATTCTGACAGATAGGAGGTGATATCTCATTATGGTTTTGATTTGCATTTCCCTACTGATTAGTGATGTTGAGCATCTTCATATGTCTGTTGGCCATCTGCATTTCCTCTTTGGAAAAATGTTTATTCAAATCTATGTATTTTTCAATTGAGTTGTTTATTTTTTGATGTTGAGTTGTATATTTTGAATATTAACTTATCAGTCATATTATTTGCAAATATTTTCTTCCCTTTAGTTGGCTGTCTTTTTATTTTGTCAATGGTTCCTTTGTTGTGCAAAAGCTTTTCTTTAAAGTCACTTCATTGATTTTGCTTGATATATTGGCATAACTTTGGCCAAGACATGACATGCTGCCATGGTCAAAAGCAGGTCTTCACACTGCATACTAGAAACAGATTTGCTGGATAAACACAAATACCAGGCTGTATTACTAAATAATGAGCCTCAGTGCATGCTTGAGAGCCAAGCAAGAGGGACTCTGTAAACCACATGAAAGGAGTTTCAGGGCAAAGAAGTTAGAAGATTCCTTTGCAAAATTTTATTTGGAAGTTTTAATGGTTAATTTTATGTGTCAAATTGACTGGAGTGTCCAGATATTTGGTCAGACTTTATTCTGGGTGTTTTCATGAGGATATTCTTGGATGGAATTAACATTTAAATTGGTAGGAAAGCAGATTGCCCTCTCTAACATGGGTGGGCCTCAGCCAATCAGTTAAAGGACTGAACAGAACCAAAAAGCTGATCTTTTTCTGAGTAGGACAGAATTGCTCCTGCCTGACTTCCTTTGAACTGGAAGATTGGATTTGTCCTGCCTTTGAACTCTCTGAAACATAGCCTTTTCTTGGGTTTCAACCTGCCAGCTTTTGGACTGCAATTATCCCATCAGTTTTCCTGTAGCTTGACTCACCTGCAGACCTTGAGACTTTTTAGCCTGCTTAACTTGTGTGGACCAATTTCTTACTCCTTTGTCTCTCTGTACCTTCCTTATATATTCACATGAGTATATTTCATATATATATGTATATGTATATATCTCCTATTGGCTTCTCTGGAGAACCCTGACTAATACAGAATATCTTAATGTAAACTTAGCCAAGGCCAAAATAAAGTACTTCTGAAATGTACATCTTAAAAAATTCCAGTTAAGAAATGGCAAAGAGTCAAAGCATAACTGCCTCCCTGAATGTGTCAAATACCAATGGAGAAAGTTATCAATCATATAAAGTTGTTAATGGCTCAAATTAGGTGACAAGTAACAAAATATTGACTAAACTTCTAAATAAATATTTATTAATTATAACTTTTATCTGAAGTAACTCATGAATGGTGATGACCTTAAAAGAAAGATCACAACTAAATGACTTTTTAATAGTTGAAAAGTAGAAGACCACCACCCCCCAAAACATACTACAACTATGTACAGACTCTATGTACATGCACTTTACACACACACACACACACACACACACACACACACCCCACACACACTATAGAAATCAACACATGCAGGCCTGTTTTGGGGAAAAAAATAAATCTGACTGTTTAACTGTTAAACATTTTTATTGTGTAGACTTATTACAGGACATGCAGGATAAAAAAAAGTGTAAAATATCAGTAAGCATATAAAAATTTCAGCAGTCTTTTGGACCAGCACTTGATTTGCACAAGGGACTAAGCATCTATATAGAACAGACATGTCTTGGGATACACAGCTTACAGATTGAATCACAAAACAATTTCCCAAGTGATTTTCCTCATATAAAGATAAAAAAATCTTTGTACTTAAAAATTATTCAGTATAGTACATTTTCAGTTATGTACACAGTTTAAAAGTAAAACTATGTCCATGCCAGTGTCTGTTTTAATGCAGAAAACCTAAATAGGTAATAGGTTGGCAATTAAAGTGCCAGGAAAACTGGAAGAGGCAAAAAATAAACCAAGCAGAATTCCAACAGGTGTATGGAAATAAAAGCATAGCTGAAGGTTAAAAATAAAGTCCCCCAGGGAAGAATCTTACTATGAGCAGGAGGAATAAAAAGCTTTTGGATGTACCAGGCAGCTTTCTGTATGACTCAGGTTTACAGGTAAAATTCCTCAGTTTTAATTCAGAAGAATTTGAATTTATTCCAGCAAAATTACCTCCATCTTTTATTACTGCCTCCTCCCCCATCTTCTCTCTGAGCAAAGTGATGCTTGGCTTAAGTCCAAAGCTCATGGCAGGGGGAGGGGCCATGTGTCACAGCATAACAGACAGTTGCAAGTGCTTTAATTTGAAGGGGTCACATTTGCAACAACTCTGACAGTCTCACACAATGGCCTCCATTTTATGAGCCCTTCCCCGGAGGCCCACTGATCAGCTGAAAAGGGAACACAATGTTCAGCCACTAAACCACCCCAGTGATGGATTAGTTTGGAGTCAGGAAAGCGTGATTATTCTTGAAAATAAACGAAGCTGAATAGACATGCTGACCTCATTCAGCTAGTGAGAGGCAGGGAAAGTTGGCTTCCACTTCTGCCAGCCCAGAGGGCTTGGCCCCATTTATTCACCTTAATTCATTTAATGGGGCTGATGTGGACCATACTCAATATGGATAAAGATGTTGTGTGATCAAGTACAGACATGAACTTCATCTGATCCCATATCTTAGAGTCAGAAATAAGTGTGAAGAACTAGGTAATGGATTTTTCTAATTTTGGTCTTCAGGAAGGCTGCTGACCTAATGAAAGTTGATGAGGTGGACCCTATTTTAAAAGGAAAACCTGAAGAACAGGAAGGCACTTAGGTTTCATCATCTATATAACAAATATCCAGGCATAGAAGTATCTATCACAGGTTAAAATTTCAAGAAAGTAAGGCAATAGATCATGTGCAGATTATGTTTTCTAACTTGATGAAGATCACTAGATCCCATTGAATCATTACAGTGAATGGCAGCAACTCACTAAACACTTCAGAGGGAAGAGTTTGCTTAAGACTGCCCACATATCTGTACACTCAGTGACAATAGCCTGGAATACTTGAATACTTCCCTTACCATAAAATGATCGACATTTTAGAACAGGCAGTTGAGGTTGTTAGTTCTTTTCTTCCTCCTCAGTTCTTTGTATTTCTCTCAAGTTATCTTTCAACAATAGGTTCATATCTCAGCCAATAGAACAATGATCCAAATGAAAGAAAAATATTTTAAATGGGTTTTAAAAGTTCAGACAACCCCCAACATAGATGAAATAGAGGAGAAAAATAATAGTTATGAAAACTGAGAGAGTGATATCTTTGTTCTGAACCAGGAAATTCATTCATATGTTGTTGCTGTATTAGCAACTTGAAATTGGCACTGAGAAAATTAAAAGGGAAAAAAGAATCATATATACTTCTATATGAAATGTCATTTATATTTCTTTCTGCATGTTGACGCGGATATTGCTGAATATTTTGCCAATAGCCTCAAATAGCGGGTCACAGAAGGTGTGGACGTAGATGGAATAGACACGGCTGATGCACTGAATCTCAATCAGGAAACTCTTAATGCACGGTACAACTGCCCAGATGTGCAGGAAAGAGAGAATGGCAAAGTAGATGCCCCAGATGAGTGCCATTGGGATGCCAAAGAGGGCAGACAGCAAACGGTAAAACCAGTACTTTGTCACAGTGAAGGTGGTGAAGCTGGCCTTCCAGATGCCGTCGAAACTGTGTGTTCCTTCTGGTTCTGCAATCACATCTTCAAAATCAATCTGAAAAGAAGAAGTGACACAACATGAGTTTGAAATAGAAGAAAAAAGAAAAAACCCATTTCTGAGTATGCATAAATATATATTAGCTTTTATGTACAGGTTCTGTGTAAAATGCTTAAAGGCACCCAGCAGCATCAGCCTCACTTGGAATTTGTGGGAAATGCAGATTTGGGTTCCACCCAGACCTCTAGGGGTAGTGTCAAGGTGGATTTCTAACATGTTCTCTGGGTGTCTCTTTGCTATGTGAAAGGTTGAGAACTGCTGCTCTAGGGAAAACTAAAGGGATATGATAAAATTCTTGCTTTCAAGTAAAGCCCAGCAACATGGATAAGTATACTAGGCATTCAGTAAAATGTAAATAACAAGACCTAAGTTAACTGCATTCCAAGACAACTACACAAACAATATTAAGAGGTAGTTAGTCCATATGTACTAAGTCACTTCAGTCGTATCTGACTCTTTGCGACCCTATGGGTTGTAGCCTACCAGGCTCCTCTGTCCATGGATTTCTCCAGGCAAGAAAATGGGTGGGTTGCCATGACCTCCTCCAGAGGATCTTCCTGACCCAGGGATCGAACCTACATCTTACATCTTCTGCATTGGCAGGTGGGGTCTTTACCACTAGCCCCACCTGGGAAGCAGTTCATGACTGATTATCAACTCTCCAACACTCAGCTGGTAGAATATCTTCAGGAAATTAGATCATTGTGGGCTCTGAGGATTCAAGAAATCTTAATGGTGTGATGGGATTTGAGCAGGGATTGGAAAATGGGGTATGACTTGGAAAGGAAGGAAGAAGGGATCTGGAAAATGCTGTGAGCAAGGCCCCAGGACAAGGAAGGATGATGCAGTGAGTGTCACAGGCAGATAGACCTGTGTGGCCATGGCTGAAAAGAAAGGTTAAGGCCAGACTCAGTTTTACTTTATATGCAGTGGTGATGGGGGTGGCGGGGGGTTGGGGGGTAGGGCGGTGTCTGTTGAAGATGTTGGAGCAGAGGAATGCAGCCACAATCCAATTCAGTCATTTACCAACATGAATTTGATAGCAGTGTCTAGGCTGGGGGAAAAGGAAAAGAGACTCAAGGCAGAAAGATTCTTGCAGTATCCCAAGTTTGAGATGGCCGGGCCAAAACCAGAATAGTGACCATGAAAAAAGAAAAGAATGAATTTCAGGGACGTTAAAGGAAGAGTCCCCAGGACTTGGTTACTTCAAGGACAGGGAGAGAGAAAAGCCCAAGATGAACTTTGAGCTTCAGGCATGCCTGCTAGAGAGAGTTGTACATGCATGCCAAGTTGTTTCAGTCGAGTATGACTCTTTGCAACTCTATGGATCATAGCCCGCCAGGCTCTTCTGTCCATGGGATTCTCCAGACAAGAGTACTGGAGCTTGTCTGGATTGCTGCTTAATCTTGAGCTTTAAGGATTAAAGCCATGCCCTCTTCCAGGGGATCTTCCTGACCCAGGGATCGAATCTGCATCTCTTATATCTCCTGCATTGGTAGGCAGGTTCTTTACCACTAGCACCTCCTGCGAGGCCCACTACAGGTTGAATTTGTCTTTATTCAAAACTTTACTGTTTCTTCAATTCAAAAACTAAGTTCTCTCTTAACATTTTCTTAACTGCCTTCCTAATTTTCTTCTTGGTGTTAATGTCACCTCTGCTCTCTTTAGGGGCTTCCCAGGTGGTGCTAGTGGTAAAGAACCATTTGCCAGTGTAGAAGACATAAGAGATGTGGGTTCAATCCCTGGGTCGGGAAGATCCACTGGAGGAAATCGTGGCAACCCACTCCAGTATTCTTGCCTGGATAATCTCATAGACAGAGGAGCCTGGCAGGCAATGGTCCATAGGGTTGCAAAGAGTCGGACACCACCGAAGCAACTTAGCAGCAGAAGCAACACCTGTACTAGTCCCTTTTGGTGGCCACTAGGAAATAATCTAATTAGTTTATAGTCATGTAGCAGTTAACTGTTACTAACTGCTTCTACGTGTATTGTCTCCATGTGATCTAGGGTTTCAGACTAATCTGGGAAGGTAGGTTGTCATTTTACAAAAGAAGATACATAGATTCAGAGACATAATGGTGGCTTGCTAAAGTCAAACGCAGAGCAAAGGTGGGGACAGGATGCAAGCCTGGCCCCTTTCCCAATAGCATTCTTTCCCACAGAATTAATTTTCAGGAGCTTTTATCCATCTGGAAGGATTATATAGACTAAACTGAAGCATGGGGTAAAAAAAATACCACCAGAAGTGTAGGACAGAGCCAGTTTAACTGTGGAGTGGTGGCAGCTATATGAAGGAATCTAATGTGCTTTGAAATATAAACAAGTTGATGACTGCTAGCAGCAATCCAGGCAAGCTCAGGATTAAGGAATGAGGACTTATGTGACTCCATGGAGCCTCTCAGTGCCAAGGAGCCACTTTTCGTTAAACACAATAAACTTCTTTTGGAAAAAAATACATGATGCTTACCAATAGTTAAGGTTTATTTTCTAAAACATTCTATTTCTTGATCTGTTGTCCAGTGTCCTGAGAATATGTAATACATAAGAAAGGTATGTCCATAATTATCTAAAGAAGTTAAATAAATTTATTGTTGTTCTAATGTTTCTTTCCCTGTTTAGATCTAGACTCAGAAGTAAACATTTGTGTGTTTTAAAAGATTGTTCTAAATGTGTGGCAAGTCAGATCAATCTTTTAATGAAGTTTCTGTGCAGGCACTTGTTTACTATAGGATTTTGCTCTGGTTCTGGATTTTCCCAAAGCTGTTAAAAATAAAGGTCTGTGCTTTTCCTTCAAAAGGTCCCCAAATAATTTTATTTTAAAAAGATGACCCTATTTTGTAAGAGGATTTGGTGAAGCCAAAATGAATGTACTAGAGCAAGGTATTCTTAATCTGAATCAAAGGCTGGGCAATGGTGGTCCCTGAATGCCCTGAAGTGGGCACTTAATAGAAGAAGGCCATCACTTTTATAGAAAATAGAGAGTCTATTGCCAAGGAAGGCTGGTAAGGATTTTACAAGAACCAAGGATTCCTGTCTCTTTACAGAACAGAATTTAAGCATGTTTGCCTAAAGATTTTTTTCCAAGGGAATGGATAGTTACTATCATTTGTTGACTGGCTATCATGGTCAAATGCTGTTCTCATTTAACTCACAGCAACTCTGTAATTTATTATTGCCATTTAATAGAAAAATGTGAAGTTTAATGAATTGTCCAGGTAAATAAGAGGTAGATTTTCATTTCCAATCTGGTTTGAAAGTTATTGATTCTTTCTTTTAATACCACATTGCTTAAAAAATATTTTTAAAATTTTCTCTAAGGCAATTAGTATTTCATAATTAAAAGGCACATTGACCAGAAAAAAAAAAAAAGAGAGAGAGAGAGATTATTGAGTTTAACCCTCTGGTAACTGTAAGAATTCCCACAGCCTGGTCTCTGAGAACAGTGTTAGGATGAGGTCATACACATATATACATGATTGGTCCTTAGCGAAGATCTATAAACATGTGTCATATGTGTAAGATTTCTTACTGATAATTTAACTTTTCTAAGCATAAATATAAATGCTTTTTTTCAGTGAACATTTTGGAAATTCTTAAGTTTTGTTTTAAGTTGGTTAGAAAATTTGAGTGGCTACTTTTTTAATGCTTTCCAAAACAGCAGTGAGTATGATTTATCTTCAAATATCCAAGTGAATTTAGAGCAAGTCTCCAGGGGTGGAAAGCAACATGACAAAAATAACATGTTATATAAATATATTCCTTAGTTAGTTGCTGCTTTAGTCTTAAGAATGTAACGTGGCTTAAAATAAAAGTAACATCAATTAGGTGCAATTGAAGAGAGAAAAGGCAGGTTAAAGAAACACAGTGAAGCCAGAAATAATCTTTAGTTTCTCTCTACCTCCATTTCTGCAACAGTAATAATAATATCGATAGGTGTTTGTGAGGAGGACATGAGAAAATTTATGGAAAGTGCTTGGCATGGGGATAGAGCATTGCAATAGAGTAAATGCTCAATAAACAGCATTGAAAATTACTTGTTCTGGATGACTATGTTTTTAAATAAGCAATTGAAATAAGAGAAACAATCAGTTGCAAAGTACATGGTGGCTGTAAATTCAAACCTCATCAGTGCTTCCAGAGAACTAACTTCCATCTATAATCATCTTTACCACAACCTCTGAGGTACATGCCATTATTCTCATTTTACATAATGAGGCTACTGTTGGACGTTAAGAAATTACCCAAGGTCACACAGATGGTAAGTGACAAAGCTGGAACTTGTCCTTCAAGTCTAACTTCCTTTTGCTTTTGTATCCCTGGGACTATAAGCTCTTCTAATAGACCTATTTGCTTAATTTTCACCCAGAATGATATGTTTCCTAAAACATTCACATTTTGATTATTAAAGAAATTACTCTTGTTAATGTTTCTATTTTAAGTTAGGACATCTAGTAACTAGGATGTTTTGTCTTTTTGGTACTGACTGAATTTCCATGGCCCTGCACATCATGTTCTCACAATCCTGGGAACCCTGCCAAGAACTCTCTCTCTAATTGGCAATAAGGAAACTGAGGCACAATTTAAATGGACAGATTTATCAAGGTCCCAAGTGAATCAGTGGAAAAGCTGAAATTAGAACTCTAATTTCCTGATTCCCAGGCCTAGGTCCACCCCTGCCTTCCACACTATTTCCCTACAAATGTACATATTTCTCCTTATGTCCCTTCTCTGCCTACCCCATTTCTATCTCTAGGTCTCCTGTAAGTCTCTCATTGTCTTCTTAGACATCGACCTGAAATATATCACTGTGTGAGGTTAGGAGAAATGTCCTTTTCTCAACATAAATATAGACATTTCTGTATACCTATATAGGGTGAATAGGTGAAAACCAGAGGGAATATTTTGAAAAATATCCTTATTATACTTTTTGAAACATTCATAATTGATTGAACCCAACAAAATTCTGTTAGTAATCAGTCATTCCATTTAAAGGCAGT